GGCACAGCCCCCCCGCACCCCCCCAGCTCCCCGCGCCGTCCCGCAAAATTAATTCGACCGAATTCCTTCCTCCCACACAGAGAGGACGTTTTATTCTGCACCGAAGGGCTGAGAGCGGATTAACATCTCTGGAATTCATCCGCTAAGTCAAAAGGGAAAGAAAGGGGAAGGTATGCGGGGGGCCAGAAATGCCGCCGCTCCTCCTCTGCCTTTCCAGGCAGCCCCATCGCCAAGCCCGGGAGGACTGAAGGCTTTGAAAGGTTTCTCTGCTGCTTTCTATGGAAAACCAAAGTCCAAGAGCTGGGCTCCAAGCCCAGGGTGAAAGAGCTCCTCAAACCCCACTGAAACGTGGTAGGGTCCTGGGGAAGGAGCCCCCTCCCTCCCAGCCAGGCAGATCTCCAGGCTGCAGCCCCCTCTCCTCTTTTTTTGTCTTCTTCTCCTCCTCTTCCTCCATTCTCCTCTCTCTTCCTCCTCTCCCAAGGTCTCTGCCCACCTGACAGGCAGATCCCATACACAGCCACACTCTGCTGCGTGGCCCCTCTGCCGGAAAGGGAAGCTGAAGAGGGCACCAGCTCATTCATCATGCAAATGGATAATTAAAGGAAACCAAGGAACGGTGTGTTCATCACTGCAATTTACAGTGCTTTGCAAACAGCCTAATTAACACAGAATGGGCTTGGACTGGCTGCTGGTGAAGGACTCGTGACTCGTTGTCCCAGCTGAGGGGATCAGGATGGGATCACCCCAATTACCTCTTCCAGGGGCTGTTTGTCTTCAGAGCAGCAGCGAGCAGCTCCGCCAACCTGAAAGCCCTTCCTGAAGGAACCGGCTCCCAAAGCATCGCTCTGCCAAGCTCCCACTTCTCGCTTCCAGCCCCGTATTGCCCAAGAGTCCAGGATCTGGGGTCTCCGTCAGGACAAGCCACTTCCCTCAGCCCCATGAACCAGGAAAAAATAACATGAAATGCCACTTCCCTCAGCCCCATGAACCAGGAAAAAATAACATTTCACGCTTCTGATCCGAGTCACGGAGCGACCCCAATCACCGAGCCCCGCGGTGCCGCTTTCGCAGAGCCAGGATCGCGCTCGGGGCGTCCGGCAGAGCCAGGAACGGGGTCAGCTGTGGTGGGCAAAGGCCTCATCCTGCTGCTCCGAAAGTCTTAGGATGGATCCCGCAAGCAGTGGGGAGGAATGGCTGGGCAGCGTTTGCGGCTGGGGGATTTCCAAGGGATGCAATCGAGATAAAATTACAAGTAAGTGAAGGGATCCCCTAAGCCATAGGCAAGGCCGGCGAACCTGTCACCTCCCACTCCTCGGGTGACCCCCCAGGCCCTCTGCCTTTTAATCAGGGTTTATAAATAGGTGTTGTTAAAGGATGGGGAGGAACACCTGGGGAGGAACAACCTCATGCACCAGTACAGGCTTGGGGTGGACCTGCTGGAGAGCAGCTCTGCACATGGTGGGACAACTCGTATGACTGGAGTGCCGTCATAGATGGCTACACAGTCGTTAGGAAAGACAGGCCAACAAGGCAAGGTGGTGGAGTTGCTCTGTATATGAGGGAGTAACCGGAATGTATCAAGCCCTGCCTGAGGGTGGATGAAGAACGAGTCGAGAGCTTATGGGTAAGAATTAAGCGACAGGATACCTTATAAATGCCTACAAATATCTGAAGGGTGGGTGTCAGGAGGATGGGGCCAAGCTCTTTTCAGTGGTGCCCAGTGACAGGACAAGGGGCAATGGGCACAAACTGAAGCATAGGAAGTTCCGTCTGAACACGAGGAAGAACTTCTTCCCTCTGAGGGTGACGGAGCCCTGGCCCAGGCTGCCCAGGGAGGTTGTGGAGTCTCCTTCTCTGGAGATATTCAAGACCCACCTGGACAAGGTCCTGTGCAGCCTGCTGTAGGTGACCCTGCTTCGGCACGGGGGTTGGACTAGATGACCCACAGAGGTCCCTGCCAACCCCTACTATTCTGTGATATTCTGTGATGGTCTGTGCAGTAGCAACCAATGGCTGAGGCAGGCTTGCTCCCATCAGCTGCAGCTGAAAATTGCCAAGGGTTTTTGCTGCTGACAAAGGGTGGGAAGGAGGAGGAGGAGGAGGAGGAGGAGGAAGAGGAGGAGGGGTCCTTACCCATGGCAGGAGGGGCAAAGCCTGAGCCACACAAGCCGGGCAGCAGAGCCGAGCCGGGTGGGCAGAGGAGGGCTGGATGGAGATGCCCACTGAGCACAAGCACATCCGAAAGCAGCAGAACCATCCCACAGCCCCAGGGGCCTGTCCTGGAATTGAGCAATGCCCACTACTGAGGGAGAGCTCATCCCAAAATCCCACCACCAACCCCTTCCTACAAGGGGATCGGGCTGGCCGGTGGGGTCCAGTACGCAGGGCTGGGGTGCAGTGGGTGTCCGGGACACGGCGGGTGTCCCTGCCTGCTCCCCAGCCCCAGGAAGCTGCTGTCAGCATCTGCACGGCCAAACGCCCGTGTCTTCGCTCCTCTCCCCGAGCAACATTCCTCAAATTAGTTCCCTGCTCCGGCAGCCCGGCGAGGTCAGGATGCGGGGCAGGACCACAGGGACACGGCGTGGGTGGCTGGGAAAGCAGCAGGTCCCAGAAAGCGGAGTCGGGAGAAGCGTCCCCGGTGGGGCTCTTCCCGAATGTGAACGCAGTAACGCTCGTCTCCAGCTCGGGCAGGGAGGGAAGGAGCTCGTCCGCGGTTTGTAGCTGGGTAAACGGCTGCTTAGAGGGCTGGAGGGTCTGCAGCCAGGCTGGCAGGTAAAGCGGGAGTGGGAAAGGGGCCACCCTGGCCCCGCGGATACGAAGGCAGGAGCAAAGACACGAGGAGAGTGGAGGGACGGGGGAGAACGGAGCACAGCCAGGCAGCCAGGACCCCTTCGCCAGCACCGTTCTGCTGCACCTCTGCACCACACGGCACCGGGGCAGGCAAAGCACCCCAACAGCAGCACTGGGACAGGCTAAGCGGGTGCCATCAGCCCCTGTCATGCTCCTGGGGACACGGTGACAGGAAGGCAGGTGATGGGACGCTTCCCTGCATCCCTCTTCCTCATTCCATCCATGTGCTCCTTTTGATGGATCCCCCTGTTTTTCTCCCCATTTCTTCAGCTCCTTCTCTCCCTGTTGGTGCCCTGGCAGCTCCAGACTCCCTGCCCTTTCCCACCCAGATGTCCTGGGGCTCAGCAGAGGCCAGGCCAAGCCATTCCCAG